TGATTTTTTATTTTTTTATGTTGGATCTTTGCTTTGTAGCCTTGGGACAATAATTTCTCTCTAAAAAGCCCGAAAAATCCACCCGAAATCGAACCCGTGAACCCATGTTCAACTGTTAGAACCTGTAATTGTTACTGCCCGTTCTTTTTTTATAAAAACGCCCGTTAATCAACCACTTTGTTAAATCTCAGCAGGTTTATACCCAAAACCACCCAGTTGAGTGCATGTAGGTGGGGGAAGTGGACCCCCGAAACCAGAGTTAACCGGGATCGGTACTAGGGGTGGCAATGGGTCGGGGATGGGTTAGGTCCGGGTAGACCCGGACCCAGACCCGAATGTATTCGAGTCTAGGTTTCGAACCCAAATCCGACCAGTCGGGTCAAAAAGTCGGATCCATACCCATACCCGTCGGGTCTCGGGTCTATCCCGTCGGATCCCCGGTTTGGTTGGGTCCATTGCCAACAAGACTATGAGCTTGAAATTGGCAAGCTATGATATACCCATATTATTGGCAACAAGGTCACACAATCATCTGCCATTGAAATTCAAGCCAGTATGATTTGTCATTTAATAGCTAAATATGACTATGAATTCTTATTATATATGATCGTTAATACACCCAAACGAATAGGGTTTGAAGTATTTTATCTCCAACAGTTTACGAGTATGGGTTGGGTCCAATGGGAATCGGACCCAGACTCGAATCAAGTTTTCGACCCAGACTTGACCCATAGGTCCAAATATTGGCCCCATACCCGGACCCGTGTCTGGTATATTCGCCGGGTCCAGGGTCGGGTTTGGGTTCATTGCCGCTCCTAATCAGCAAATGCCCGATTCTAATATAATCGGATGGTTCCGAATTGAACCGACTCATATTTCTAACATTGGTTGGAACGAGATGGGTGCGCGGGCGATTACAAACTGATTCGCCTCTTTACAGATCGTTCCTACCTCATATCACGTCCTCGAGATTGCTTGTTTTTGCCTGTCGTTTTTGATGGAAAGGTCGAAGAAGCAAACCCTAACAAAACTACTTAGCATCCAAACAAAAATTCAATAATTCAACCGGCATGAATCTTGATTGCTCCTAATTTCTTGCATACGTCTATCCGTCGTTAGTTCCAACAGCTGGTTCAGTGGATCCAGTTGCCTAACAGGGTCCCATCAGCGCAAGTTGCCCTTCCCTTGCAACTTGAATGGCTCAACCGTGGGGCTTCTTTTCTCAAGTTGTGCGGACCAACATTCATATGTTCACGCGCATGACAAAGTACCAATCAACTTATAAAGGTGCCGTTTGTATTATGAAGTTGTGCGGGCCAACATTCGTATGTTAATGCACATGACAAAATACCAAACAATTTATAAAGGGTGCGGTTTGTATAGAGCCAAGGCTCAAAACAATCAAATTAGAGCCTACCTTGAAAGGTGTCGAGAAATGTGGTTTCAATACTAGAAATCTTTGTGATAGCCTTAAAATATATTTTCTTTTTTAATTATAAAATCTAAAGCTTCAAATATAGTATAGATTGAGTAGATTTATGAAAACTTGAAAATTTTAAAAATTGACGGTCCAAAAATACATTCCAACATGCACTATATCCATAACTTGAAATCCATTTTTTTCTCATGTCCATGCATTTTGACGTCGAGATGATCAATTTCAAGATATTTGGATATCAAAACAACTTCTTCTAGTGAAATTTTTTATGTAGGCTCTAATTTGACTGTTTAGAGCCTCAACTCTAAATAAACTTTTTCCATTTATAAATGGCTTTATCACAATTTAGTCTATTGATCCACAACTACTATCATCATTGGTCAGAGAGGGTGTGCCAAGGACTTTTAAGGGCCCCATCCATGCCACTTGATATCTAAGCTTTACTAAATATCTCCAAGATTTAGTTTTTATTTTTATTTATTTTTTTACTTTTTATTTTTTGATAGTTCAATGAGGATTACGGGCCCTTCACCATTTTTAAAACTGTTACTAGTTTTCGAAGGGGCTAGCATTTTAGAAACCGTTATTAGTTTTTGAAATGGGTTAGACGGTTGACCTTTTGTTCAAGGAGACTAAAATCATATCAGTTTGTTGGATGTGAAATTCGGCAGCTAGAGGTGTCCCCATGATGTAGTTCACAGTCCAAAAGAATATTCTTTGAATTTTATAAGATATCTTAAGCTATTTGATTTCACATTCATGGTCATGTTTGATTTCGCCCTCTTTATGCCAAAAGAAAATGGTTTTATGCTATAGAGTCCATTAAAGAACTTCATATCCAATTCCTTGTATATCATTTTATTAATCAATTGTTTCTTGAATATCACTTGTCTCTTTTTTTTCCATTCTTTTTAAAAATATCAATTTAATGGCCAAATGACCTTACAAAACATTAAAGTTTTTAAATCTTCCACTTAACATCAGGTTTGTTAAATTGTTTTGTTTCCTTCGCTCTAGTAGATCTTCGAAAAAAATGTTTGAAAATGACCAAATTTCTCCTCTTTAAGATTGTAGACCTACCGTAGGTGTAGAGGTACGGTGCCTTTCAAATTTTATCATGGTATATAATTTTGATGTAAAAATGTTATTAGGATTACCTCAAAATCTATTTTTATATCTAATTAGAAAATTTTAAATTTCAAAAGCAGTTAAAATTAAGTAGATCTATAAACATATGAGAATCTTGAAAATGGATGGTGTAGATAATATGTTGTAAAATACATTATTTTTGAGAGTTTAAATCTTTTTATTTTTCATAGTTATACATCTCAATGTCGAGATGATCAATCAAAGGGTTTTTCAACATTAAAACTACCTTTTCTAATGGATTTTTGAGGGGCATCCTTAGTTCTACATTATAAGATAGCATCCTTATGTAAACTTTTTCCTTTTAATAATTTGGATACACTTTATTTGACTCGCTCAATCCAAATGATGATATTACTCGTTTTTGTCTATGTCGGCAACATGGAATTGATGTTAATGTCCTGGATTGTTCATGTTTAAAACGGAACTCACCTTTTTATTGTGAACCATGTTCCATTTTCCAAACCTTGAACAAGAAACGCTACTATTGCATTTGGCTTGAACCACTTAACTAGACCAAAATATTGAAATGACCCTACTTGCTAAGGGTTTCGAATCTTGAATAGAGCATTTGAATTTTTTTTAACATACTTATTGAGAAGGTGCCTAAGTAACAAAGAATTTCACTTAGTTTGACTTCTTTAATGATTTTATATAGTGGTTTGACTATTTAAGTAAAAGGTAAATTTATAAATAAAAAAATCCCACGTAGAAATTTTAAAAGATACCACATAAGTCATATTATATGCCCATGTCTCACTTTTGCCAAACGATTTCATGCTTATATTGTCCATTTACTCCCTCGCATAAAATCCAATCTAAGAATAATTGTAGGACCCCAAATATTTGGGATATAATGACTTCAATCCATAGACTAACCTCAATAAGATATGTTCCAAATCACACTCTCTATGCACTTAAAAAAATAATATATCAAGATTGAACATCGACCACCTAATTTCTTGAGGGCGAGATCGAAATGTTAGAAGACTAAATTTCAAATTTTTTCTTTTGATAATATTTATCTAGTTATTCTTAGGTGGTTCATAAATTTAGGATTTAGAAAAGTCCTCCTAAAGAGGTCATATGCTCAAGGGAGAAGGTGTACAGTACGCTTCTACAAGAGCATGGTACGTGCTACTCACTTTTTTTGTATCTTTTATTTCCAACTTTATCCCTAGGTTGGATATCCATATACATACCACTCTCATTTTTCCTATAGTTAATTTTCTAAATTAGAAAGCGGTTCAAAAATTGAATAAGCGAACCACTTTTTCAAGGGTGGTTCGCACATCGAATTTCCAAACTATCATTTCACTAAAAACTTTATAATGTGGGTAGTTAGGATATCCAATATCTGAACTTCCTGCACTTGTCATTCTTAGATAATTTGATTTATTGGAAAAATATTTTGATATTCACTCTCAGCCATCCAATTAATGTTAGAAAGTGGGATTTTCTAGGGTAAAAGAAGTTGTTAGGCATCCAATTTCCATCCGCTATTTTGTCTAAAAACAATATAAAGAGTAGGAGGTTTGTAACTTGAATGTGTAGACTGTCCACAATTGTCATTGTTTAGATTGAAAGAGCAGTTCCAATATTCGATGATGCTAAGCAAAGAGATGAGTGTGGCTAATTCCAACAGTAGAGGGCTGAATAATCATCCTGAGTACGAAGAAGAACAAAAAAGTAAAATAAAATAAAAACGCTCCATCATTCGAGTAGCTTTTAACCTTATTAAGAGAGATGAGGTTAAAATGAAATAAAAAATTTAGGAAAAAAATTGGGGCTTTAGAGTAAAATATATAACTTGATAAATTATGATACTTATAAAAGATTTTCTTGCAAATTTCCCTAAATGACTTGTCCTTTTTTCATATTTTTTAATAAATGTATGCATCATTTTCTTCCGGACACGCTTAGCATGTATCCAGCCTACATATTGTAGAGATGAGGGCTTGACAATAAATATATTTTTAAATATATTTTGATGTTAATTTTTAAAAAATATTTAATATTTAACATGGAGATCATGAATATGAAATAAATAAATACTATTGGACTATATTAAAAAAACATTTAGACCCTTAGTTACATTTGCTTATATATGAACCACCTATTTACATCCATCTTTAAGATGGATGCTTTATATAACTCTGGACAGCATATTGTACAAATACGATCCAGCCTACACTTGCTTGTTCTGAATAGAAATATATTGGTAGAATGCCGATCTTTGTACCGATAAATGCAACCATCACTACAACGAGGATAGGTTCAATGAGAGGTCATCCTAGGTGAAATCTACACAGCAACTAGCCTCCCAGTTGTATATCAAATTGCAGCACATATTTATATCCCTTTGGACCACGGTGAGACCACGTTTTGCATTTCTCCTAACCGGATTCCGACATATCACACCATGAAATAATGAAAATACAAAGATAAACCATGATTGAACTACCACAAATAACCTCTATATAAACCATCCAAACCTTCACTTCTCCTCACACAAAGATTGGAAAAAATAACTAAACATCCCAACTAGAGGCAGCATCATGAGTCTTTCTCTCACTCTTCTCTCCATCTTTCTCCTCATGTTGGTCATGGTGGAGTTGAGGTCGGCCTCTGGGGATGACCCCAACTTCATCAGAGCCTCCTGTCATCGCACCCTCTACCAAGCTTTGTGTTTCACCTCCCTATCTCCTTATGCTGCCACCATCCAATCGAGTCATAGGCAAATGGCGCACGCTGCTCTCTCTGTAGGTGTAGGGAAAGCACAGTCATCCTCGGCGGCTATGTCAAATATGATGGTGGGTTTGAGCAAGGATACGAGTAAGAGGGCAGCCGTGGGGGCAGTGAGAGACTGCATGGAGAACATGGCAAACTCCATCGACGAGCTCCAACAGGCAATCGCTGAGGATGAGCATCTGCCGAGCAACAGTAGGGCTACCGACTTTGGAGAGAAGATGAGCAATATCCAGACATGGGTGAGTGCTGCACTGACTGAGGATGATACATGTATGGACGGATTCAGGGGAATAGCCATGGATGTCGATCTCATGGCTCAGATGCGGATAAGTGTTTTAGGGGTCGCTCATTTGACCAGCAACGCCTTAGCTCTCATCAATGCCCTCAACGAAACCCCTTGAACACTCTCTCCCTCCTTGGAATGATAACTTATGGTTCTCAGAGAAAGGCAATATAGTCCATAGTTTTCGTGGATTAAGAGCCACTTGTTATGTATTATACTATTGAAGTGTATATGATTTCCAATTTCTTGGGATTAAGAGCCCTGTGTACTACAGTACTAAAGGGTATATGAATTAGAAGTTATTGGGTAATTTCATTGACTATTTCTTTTCTTCTTTTTTTTCTTTTTTTTTATTTGATATGTGATGGTGGGAATGGAGGGTGGGATTATGAATTGCCGTTTCCACCGGCCACCAGTGCCCCAACCTAATTCACAAAAACTAAATTCAGTTTTTTTTTTTTTGGTTTTTCACCACGGGACCTTAGATTGTTGAGATTCTCTTTAGCTTTTGATTTAAACTTTCTCAAAGGGCTTATGGGTTCTTGGCTAGGGAAGTGCAGTACCTTTGATGTGGCCTTAGCAAGTCATCATCATCACAACTTTTATTCAATTATTAAGGCTAACTATACAAATTTTTGTCCATCATTCTACTTTATTAAAGGTCATAAAGTCATAAATCCCATGTTTTTTCAAAATACTTGCAACCACGTGTTTTTTAGCTTATCCCGTACCCTTTTCTATCCTTATGTAACAAGTAAATTTTGTAAATTGATTTACGAGCAAAAGATAAAAAGTTAAATGGCTCGATAATTTTGGATTGGAAGACTGCAGATCAATTTAAGTATTGAGATTTCTTAGTTGATTATGGGGGTAATTAATATCCCATTGCATTACATCATGTGTAACTTGTGCTTTCATTGGATGAGGACATATTTGCCAATGGGTCATAATAGGCAATTTGGATAGCCAGCAAGTAGCAACAAGCATAGCCACATTGAGATGGGGCCCTTTTTGTGAATTGATTGGAATTATATAAGGAAACGTTATTCATGAGTCAGCAATGCAAGAGCCAGCTGGCTCACGTTGTAAAAAACTTATTCATGAGTCAGCAGATGCAAGAGCCAGCTGGCTTTTCCAAAAAAGAAAAAACACATTTTAAATATTAAAAAAAATTATTTTATCTTCATAATCATGATAAATTTAACCTAGATCATGATATTTAAGATTCTAGATTAAAAATCCATTTTTAAAATAGGATTAAGTGGAGTATGAGTTGGGTGACTTAAAAGAACCCATCCATTATCATTTATGGAAAATTATTTCATACGGGCTGGACCGTATTTCTACAATAGGTGATCCAGAGGTATAAAGCATCCATATTAAAGATGGATGCAAATAGGTGGTCCATCTAAAAATAAGTGTAATGGTCTAAATAAATGTTGTCTCAATATAATTATTATTTTTAGTTTCAAATTATTATTTTTCATATTCATGAACTCCATGTTGAATATTATAAATTCTCAAAAAATTAAGTTCAAATTATATTTAAAAAATATATTTATTTCCAAACCCACAGTTCTGCAGGATCCATGTTGGCTGCATAGAAACCGTGTCCATCATTTGTGTGTTGCTCCAGCTGGATTATAGTGTAGCTACTTCCTAGGATAAAAGATCTATCCATTGCTTTTGATGTGAAATTTCAGGATGCACAACAAATGAGTACTTGCAAAGAACCAAAATTTGGATCTGACCATACAAAAATTGGAAGATTTGGGGGAAGTCTTTTGATATATTTTTAAATCTTCAGTAAATAAAAAATGTAAAACTTGGTACTTTTGGAAAAAATTTCAACATAAGGATATTTTTTAAAATTATGAATATCAGGAGTTATATCTATTGAAATTCTGTACATTTTATGGCTGCTATAGGGATCCTTTTGAAAACGTTTCTGATATATTCATTTAATTAGTGATTGATTCACTTCACTTAGGTTTACGGCCGCAAACAAAAGACTTCAGCCACTTCAGGGGATGGGAAGAGAATCTGATAACATTGCTCAGTAGTCCTATCCAATTATAGTACAACTGAAATTTCTCCTTTTCAAAGAAGTTACCCTGAAAAAAAAATTGTTTTATTTTAGGTTCGAAGGGATCACATGGAATTTTGATGTAACACTTATTGCTGATATCGCAGAAGAGCCGCAGCCATTGATAACCATGTTGGATGGTTTGGGCAATATAAGTGGAGGACAATTTGAAAAGGACTGCGGAACTTGGAAAATTCAAGGAGATTGGGAAGAGGATTGGGATGAAACTTTTTCAGGGAAAATAAAGCCTTCAATTTATGTTGTCAAGATCAACGGAACCTATTATTTTCCCTTATACTTCAGTGAAAGCGAGTTCTTTGGTAGATAGTTTGTAAAATAAGACTGCAGGTAGGAATAGCTTGTGTAGTTATGGAATTGCTTGCCACTATAGATACTCCTTGTTAATACATATTAACGTTTTCCATTTTATGGTTATTGAATGTTTTTTATTAAAAAGAATAGATGGTTGCATGCAATGAAGCTGTGATCTTTTACGGTCTATTTGCTTTGAATGAGTGGTTAGTTGTTGTTGATTTACAGTGGACATGTTCAAGCTGTTGAAGGAATTCCAAAGCACTTGATTGTTGGACAAATTGTATGGGCACCACCATCTTTAATCAAACAAGTCAATGTCTGGTATTTTTTGGTTGGGCGCGCCAGAATATAATTCACACCTTGCCAAAAAGCTTGGGCTAAGATACTGTTATAATAGACCATGTTACTTTTACGCAGTTGAGGCTCCCTTTCTGCAACATAAGGGCGAAGAACTATAGTTGAAATGAGTTTATCTGCTTATTTCTATTTTTTTGTAGTGTTGATTATTTTTCTTTTCGCCTTTTTCAGTGACTTACGAATTCTTGTAACTGATCCCGGCTATTGCTTTCCAACCCAGCAATGACCCATCAAAGGCACACATGATAACAAGGGGGTTATGGAGTACCTTCCTTCCTCGCTTCAGGTATGATATAATGCAGTAAAGGCGTGTCTCTTTATTTCAGGAGGAATTTCTCTACTTTCATTTTTACAAATCAAATTGCTAGAGAACCAACAACCTAGGAAATTGGAATTTTCATTAATGCATCTCTATTTTCTGTCATCGATGCTTGGATTAATGTTGTACTCATAGAGATGTAGGCTTTCTTCTCTAGGTCTTGTATCCTTTTTATGGTTATTATTCTTGTGCCATGGATTCATTTGTGCTCTAATGGAATATTACAAGCTTGGATAATGTTTTTATTTGGGAGAAGACTTGGATGATGATGATAATGGAATATTTCAATTACCAAATAAAGACATTATCAAAGCTTGTAATCAACAAAGATTCCTTAGAAAAACATGTTTTCAAACTTGTATTTGCTAGGGGCTGAAAGATAGTTTTATTGCTAAATTTCGTTCTGACTGCTATTGGTTTCACTGAATCAGTATTTCCATTTGCTATTTTGTTCTATATCGGGGCAGATCAATATTTCTAACCCCTTGCGTATCGTTATTATATGTCTTTCTATTATGCATCTTTGGTCTACCTCTCTTGAATATTTATTTATGGCTTATTGAGAAAGCTTCTTGTTTTATTGCCCAAACCAAAACTTGTCCAAATTAAATTTTTTCACTTTGGGTGTGTTCCTCAACCTCTTGTGAAGCTCTCAAAGAAAATTTGGGTCAAAATTATTATTTTTTAATATTTTTAATCATTTTTTTGGTAAAACAGCGCGTTTGCAGGATTCTGGATCAAAACAGGTATTTACAGGGTTCTTGGTAGGCAGATTGGTTCTGGGTCATAGGGTAGGTTGTGTGGATTATAGATTTGGGTTTACTAAGATAAGTGTGGTCTTAAAAGTTCAGGCAACCATAGAATTTGTCAGATTTAAAATGGGGTGTCTACAACGTGTGGCACGTTTTCTCCAAGGTCACCTAGTGTTAGGCTTATTCTGCAGTGTTCCTTTAGTCTGGCGGCGTCTTGGGCACCAGCACGACTAGATTGTCACTGGCTCTCTTCTTATTTGTGTCAGGGATGTAAGTACGTTAAAAATGAGGTACAACAAGGATAGCCAACAAAAACCCCCTAACTGAATCTAGTAGACTGGGGCCCAAAGAGGCACCCCGCCTATCAAACAAGTTCTAAATCTCGGTGTAGCAGTTCATACATCCCATTACGGGCCCTCAATTGTTTATTTGAAGCGCAAACATCTCCTGAAGTGGAAAGGAAGCCCTTAAGCAAGGCCCCTACCAGAACACTGAAGATCAAAAGCCTGATTGATTGGAAAGAAAGCCCTTAAGCAAGGCCTCCGACTGCCAGACAAGCCCTAATTCTGACTAATTGGGTCTACACACCCTTAAGCAAGGCTCCCACTAGAAGACTGAAGATCAAAAGCCTGACCAATTGGAAAGAAAGCCCTTAAGCAAGGCCCCTGATTGCCAAACAAACCATGATTCTTACTAATTGGGTCTATGAGCCCTCAAGTAAGGCCCCCAGTTGTTGGAACAAAAAAGAACTCCTAAAGTGAGAATAAGTCCCTTAAGCAAGTCCCCCACCAGCAGCTCAAGTCTCTTCTCCCTCAAAAGTCTTCACGATTCAAGGTCTATAAGCCCTTAAACAAGGCCCCCAATCGTTGAACCACCTCGGTCATCCCCCAAAGAAGAAGCATGACACGATTTCCCTTTGGTGGTCATGTTGATACCTGTGGTCGAGAAGAAAAATGAAAGTCGGATGACTAATTTTGATTATGAATGTTGCCCTTCTCACTTCTCTCAAAGAACAACATTCAGTGGGGTGTAGGGTACTTTTTTAGACTCATACCCCCAGTGTGAAAAAGGAAGAAGCCTAGGCCTACAGGTACTAAAATACATGCGGACTACGAAAGCATTGCTGGAGTAGACCTTGATTTTAAAGTGAATTTTGAAAGGTATCAGATTGGTCCCAAAAAGTATGTGAGGGTAGGAATTTGACTCCTTAAGAACACCAGCAAGGTTTCGTTGTGATCTAACAAAGCTAAAATGGATCAGACAAAAAATCAAGCTTCAAATCCAGCTCCAAACATGTTAAAAAAGTGCCTCATAATTGTAGCCCTATTATCAGGGTCTTATATGGGTATCAAACTACTTCCATCAAATTCAGAAGATTCGAAAACCCCCAGATATCAAAATTCAGCTTATCCGAGTGCTTTTGGACCATTTTAGAACCAACTTACCCAAAAATGGTAGGTTTCACACTATTCTGATGTACCCTCGATAAACCT